GAAATCACCCACAAAGGTGGGTGTAAGGATGTGTGTGTGTGTGTTCAAGGATGTAGCATCAGTAGTGTCCATCTCTAGATATGCAAGAGGAGACTGCAGTTCTGCTCAGGCTCTTGCAATTCATCCGGGATAATTATGGATTATAATTAGAAGATAAATGCCCCCTACTACTCCAGCTTGCTGCTCCTTATAGTCAGTCCCTTGCCCTGCACAGCACTTGGTATCCATCCAGACTTGCACTTGACTGATAATGCCTAGTTCCTTGGAGTACAACACTTGAGCCGTGTATTGTTTATTTTCTTTGACATGAAGTTTCCTAAATCCCATGAGGACACTGAATTAGGTGACCAGGGGCTTCTGCACTTCCTTAGAGCTCTGTATTGTCCAACTTCATTTACAATCACCAGCCACAGTTCATCCCTGCTCAGACTATGTCAAGTAGTCTTCTCCCAGCTACCCAAGAGTCCTGCGCCCCCTCTTTCCAGGAATGCCTTCCCGGGCAGGCTGGGGCCTAAAAACTCTATTTTAGCAAATGTCATCTGAAGACAGGCTAGGCAGAGGAGGTCTCAATACCCCAGAGATGACTTCCATAGCCTGTCATACCTGGGCTTTTTCTGAGTAAAATAAGGCCCATAACATGACTTCCGGGCACATTATTTTAGCATTTTGCCTAAGTAACTAGTTTGTATAAATAGTGTAGGCTCTCAATCATACTGAGTATGACCGTTAGCAACATTCTTGTCCTTGATACAGCTTTTTTTCCTGTTGCATGGAATGTGGGCACTATCATCACCATCATCCTATCAGTCTTAAGTGGTTGTTGAAAAATCAAACGGTGTTTGTAGAGCACTCGCCTGGCATATATAATAAGTATTTGGTAAAGATTCCTCATTTCGTAGTCCTTACCAACTGAGAAAAACTCATGCTGAAGCTAATGAATCCTCACAATGTTTAAAGGAGAGTGGAAGAACCGCTCCTCTCCCCGCCCCCCCCCCCGCCCTGCAGTGATCTTGACAGAAGGGTTGAACCCCAATGCCGTGCAGTTGGCTATCCCAGCTTGACTTAAAATGTAACTAAGAAGCTGTATCTAGAAGTTAGATTTTTACCCACTGGAGTTATAGATTCACTCAACTCAGACTAGGTCTGCTCAAGGACTAGCAAAGATACCCCAATGCTTAGCAAATATGTTTTTATTTTTTCCCCCAGCCACTCAATTAAATGACATTTCCTACTTCACGGGCAGCTACGTGTCCTCACCATTGAAATGGAAAGGAAGTCATGTAACCAATTCCAGACCTGGCTTATAAAAATGTCCCGTGTTCTAGTTTTCCTTTTTCCCCATCTGCAAAGCTACGCCTCGAAAACAGAGCTGCCAGGAAATGGAAGGAAACTGGTTTCCGGAACTATTGCTTGGACAAGAGCCACCTCGGCCAGGGGCGACATGTTGGATTACAAAATTAGTGGAAAATGCACATTCGTGTCCTGGGATTTGGAAGTATGGCTGCTACACCATTAAGAGAAAGGTGAAGGGCCTTTCTCTGTCTGTGGTGGGAGGAAGGACAGTCTTTATGGAAGACGGGGAGAATGCTTGGAACGCCTGTCACAAAGTCTAGAATGAGAACCACTCCGTATTGACCTGACGAACTTTGGCTGCCATCTTTGCCCATTAGGGCTCTATGGGATGAAAAATACACAATTTTTTAAGGCTCAAAACCTCTGTGTTTTGCTGTGCTTCTTCAAGTCTTGCAATGAAGGATAATAAAAGCAGAAAGTGTGCGGAGGAGGCATCTGAAGTGGGAAATGACATTAGGCTGGCCCATAAAAGGTGAGTGCTCTGAGTGGGAAGGTGAGCTAAGAAGGAAAGCATGATGAATGTTTCCTTGGCTTTAAATAGTGAGGGCCCCGTTCACCCTCCCCCATGGCTGGAGGGAGCAAGGGGCACTTTGCAGACAGTGCCTGAGTCAGGGAGCCTGGTGGCTCAACCATGCAGGAGCCCTGGCTCAGGGAGTAGATGGAGGTACTGGGATGTAAGTTGAGCCCCCCACAAGACACAAGAGAGAACCCTGAGTTGGCCAAGTAACAGAGCCAGAGAGGAAAGTGGGGTCTAGAGGGAGGCACCAAGAGGAGAAGGAAGAATGTGATGAGTTGACTTAGGACAGGAAACATCTTTCTGGGGGCTAGTGGCTCACGCCTGTAACCCTGAAGAGGCTGGGACCTGAGGATCATCATTCAAAGCCAGCCCTGGCAGCAAAGCCTTTGAGACTCATCTCCAACTAAGGAGCAAAAAAAAAAAAAAAAAAAAAAAAGGACAAGTGGGTTTAAATGGTCACCAGCCTTGAATGAAATGGCAAAGGGAGAGGCTCTGAGTTCAAGCCCCAGAACTAGCACTGGTGAGAGGTGAAGAGGGGGAGGGGGATTGTAAACATGTTTAATCCTTTAATCAATCCTCTGCCAGAACACATCAACCCACACAGAACATGTGTCTTTGTGCCTTTATTGTCTGGCCCAGCACCCTAACATTAGAACACCACCCTCCATCCCCCTTTTCTCTTCAGTTTGTGTTATTTCCTAAAATCCTTCAAAGGACAATTCAAGTTCAACCTTCTCTGTGAAGCCATCTCTGGTTATTTTAGTCCCTGTAATCTTATTTTGGAAAAAACAAAAACAAAACCCAAACAGTAGTAGAAAGCACTGAGCCACAATCTTGTATTTGTTCCGCTCTCTTATTCTGTGTATATTTCTAACAAACAAAATTCACTTGATCTCCCTGGAACTGGGCTGGCAATCACCGTTCCTTCATGATGGCAGCCCTATAGAGACCGATTGCAAGGTATATACAAAGGTGCTGTGCTCACAGCACCAGGTCGTTCGTTTTCTCTGCATGAATAAACACACGGAGAACAATTGCGAGGATTTTATTTAGCGGCTTCTGTGCTTGGCACTCGGAGACAGTTCCATGCATAAGGGCAAATTTTTATACACCTTTTCTTCATGTTACATATTTTACATAACCCTTTTATTGCCCCCTTCTTTAATATTTATAATATTGGATACCCACTAGGTATATAAATACATTTATCTACAACAACTCAAAACCAAAAATCTTAATAATATCTGTATTATTTTTACTTGTATTACTGTATTTGCATTTCCACACCCTTTAAAATTTCTAGCTTGCACCAAGCTTCAACTTGTTTCATTAGCATTAAAAGAATCTGAAGGGAAAAGGAAAAACAATGGGAAAAAAAGTAAACCCCAAACTTCAAAAGCAATGAACTATTGGATAAAAATAGAGATCTAGCTGGGGGCCCACGGCTTGCGCCTGTTACCCTAGCTCCTCAGGAGGCTGAGATCCAAGGATTGCAGCTCAACATAGCCCAGGCAAGGGAGTTCCATGAGACTCTTCTCTCCAATTAACCAGCACAAAGCTGGAAGTGGAGCTGTGGCTCAAGTGGTAGAGTACCTGCCATAAACAAAAAAAGCTAAGGGAGAGACTCAGGCCCTGAGTTCAAGTCCCAGTACTGGCACAAATATGGAGATCTCCGGGGCAGGTGGATATGTGGAGACGACCCAGCCTCAGTTCCCTGGAACCTGGCAGGATTTCTCATGCCACAGTGTCCAGTGGAGAAGCAGTTGGGATCAGAGGTGCTGGCCTAGCACTGGGGGCCAGGCCTCTACTTGCAACCTCTGCTCTTGGCATCACCTGAAAGTCTATAAAATCTATCCTTCACACTTCTGTTTGCCTCACCCCACCAGGCTGCAGGCTCTCAAGTGGGCACTTGGGCATGACGTACCTATTTCCTGGGTCATGAGGGTCATGCTGGGCACATGTGGCTCATGCCTAGCTACTCGGGAGGCCGAGATCTGAGGATCTCAGTTGGAAGCCAGCCCAGGGGGGTTCTTATTTCCAATGAACCACCCAAAAAAAAATCCACAAGTGGAGGTATGGCTCAAGTGGCAGAGTGCCAGCCTGGAGTGAAAAAGCTATGGGACAGGGCCCAGGCTCTGAATTCAAGCCCCAATACCAGCACACACACACAAAAAAAAAAAGAGGAAAAAAAAAGTGAATCCGCCCCTTGTTCCAGACCCTCACTGGTGCCCCACTACCACCCTGTCCCCAAAACACTGCTCCTCCGTTACCCCAGCATTTTTCCCTAGAACCTCGACAGGGTAAACCCTAATGACTTTCTTCAGTGGGTTCAAACTCCCTTCACCATGCACTCCTCCTCTCTCAGTCTCGGCCTCTGCCCCCTCTTCAGCTCTCTGCTCTGTCTGTCTGTGTTTCCTTCATTTCTTCTCTTCACAAGACATCACTGGGCCCTCTCCACAATGGCACACTGAGTAAAGAGAGTCAAGAGTAACCCCCCCCAAAAAAAATCAACCTTTTCCAGGAAGCCAAGTCCGGCTGCGCGGCAGCGATGTCGTCCTGCCTGGCTTGGAGTGAAGGCTTCCAGAGAAGCCCTTCTTCCAGATGAAGGCTGAGCTGCTGCAGACAGAGGCTAGCCGTTGGCAGGCAGGCAGGCAGTCCATGCTGCAGTCTGTAGCCCAGTTTCTGGGGAAAGCACCCATTCGGAGTCTTGTGCCAGAGTTCGCCCAGCCAGCATGCAGCATGTTGGGGTGTGTGAGTTGGTGTGTGTCGATGTATGTATGTGTGGAATTCTGTATAGGTAGGTAGGCTCTGTGTGTGTGTGTGTGTGTGCACGTGTGTGTGCGTGTGTATGGTTTTATGGCATCTAACTGCTAGCATCTCCTTTAACATGATCAGAAAATGATCATCCAGTCTCTTCAAAGGACGCTCTGACAATAGACGAAGCTTTCTAAAGCGAAGGCTTGGAAAGCAGGCGAGCGGCCACTGAGCTGCGGGTGCTTTATGCTCACATCCTTCAGCAGCTGCCAAGTGTCTCTGGTGGGTCTTCTGCATGTGTTTTCCTCCTATACACACACACACACACACACACACACACACACACACACACAAATAATAATAACAATATAATAATAACATAGTTACTGCTTTCCAAAGGCACTGGGGCTCCCAAAAGGAGGATCTGCGCAGGAGGCCGTGGGGGGTCTCCGTGCCATCCTGGCAGTGCTCTACACCATGTGCACAGACATCTGGGAAGAGGAGGAGCCAGGGACGGCCCCGTACTGCCTGCCATCGCAGGTGCTGGCTGCCTGCTGGTTGTTGGGTGAAGGGCTAATCATGTGCATGCCGTGGTCCATCCCCGCGGGCAGGTACTGCCGCTCTCCAAAGGCCCCGTTGGAAGGCGAGGAGCAGATTAAAGTGCTTTGGGAGGCACTCAGTTTCTCGGGGCTTGTGGCCAGCCTAGGGGATGTGGGGAAATTGTATCCGTACAAGTTATAGGGGTTGTGCAGGGGGAAGGCGTTGTAGGAGCTCTGCTGCATGTGGCCGCCCCCAAACATGTGTGGGGATGAAGAGCTGGAGGCCGCGTTGCCCGCCTGCATGACGTACTGGAACTGGGAAGTGGGGAATGACCCCAGCTGGCCACCGTAGGCTTCCATCTTGCTATTGCTGGACAACGAGGAAGGAGCTGGGATTCCTGAGATGAGCGATGGAGTCCTCTGAGCCATGAAGGTTTCAGAGGGCTGGGTGGCAGACGCGGGGCCACTCTGAAGCCTGTTGTAGCCACTGTCACTCAGCCCCGGGTAGCTCTGCAAGGCGGCCATGTTGCTTCGGGCACAGGGCGGGTAATCAGAGAGGTTGAGGTTACACAGCTGGCTCTCCCGACAGCCCACGTTGAAAGTGTTGGGGGCCAAATGGAAAGTGGGAGGAGAACAAGATGGAGATAGAAGATGAGAAGAAGCTGAAGGGGATGGTGTCCCCGTGCTGGAGGTGGTTGGGGATGTGCCGGTGCTGCCCCCTGAAAAATGAAACAGAAGTGACATTGAGAATTTTAGGACAAGTCTGTCTAGGCCCAACCCAAGCTGCACAGGACACCACACAGACACCTTTGAAGATGCGAAGAGTGGCTGGCTTTGACAGAACTGTGGCACTCTCTTTGACCACATATTAGTTATCAATATAATTTTATTGTATTATTAAGGTGTTATACTGAGGTTATAATTCCATAAGTCAGGTAATAAGTGCAATTCATCTTGGATGGTGTTACCAAAGAGTAAAAGAAGATGAATTTCCCCCCCCCCCAAAAAGAGCACACTGAAGTCTGTCTTTTTCTGCAAAAGACTTATTAAGTCTTACTTTTAAAAAAGACAATTGAAATAGGCCGGGCAGTGGTGGCTCACACCTGTAGTCCTAGCTACCAAGGAAGCTGAGATCTGAAGATTGAGGTTCCCAAACCAGCTCAAGCTGAAAAGTCCATAAGACTCTGATCTCCAATTAGCCACCAAAAAGCCAGAAAGTGGAGTTGTGGCTCAGGTGGCAGAGCACCAGTATTAAGCAAAAAAAAAAAAAAAAACACGAGACAGCATCCAAGCCAAGTGATAGCTTGAGGCTGTGGGTTCAAGCCCTAGGAACAGCACCAAAAGGAAATAAAGGGGAAAAATGTGGCGAAAGGTATGTGGAAAGAATGACCTTCCTAGACCTCCTCTCTCCCAGGAGCAGGACGCAGTGCAGAGCACCAACTCTCTGTCTCTCTCCCGGTCACTGAGTTCCTGAGTGAGTGGCTGCTTGACCTTCCCTGCAGTTACCCTGATAACTTTCCCTCCCCGCCATTACAGTACAGTGTCAGGATACAGGACAGCTGCCACCCCTCAAGGCATGGGGCACCCTTTCTGTCACCCACAGTGTTTGTCCAGGACTCTAAGAACCTAGATACCAGAAAAGGGTAAAGGGCATTTTAGGTAGAAAGACGCAACATGAAGCTTTTTATCAGTGAAGAAAATCTGAAGAAGATCAGCAAGATTCCAGAGATTGGGTACCCAAAGAAAACACCCAGAACGGGGCTGGGAAGGTGGCTCAGTGGTAGAGCACTTGCCTTGCATGCCTGAGGCCCTGGGTTCGGTTCCTCAGACTACATAAGCAGAAAAAAAAAAGCTGGAAGTGGCATTGTGGCTCAAATGGTAGAGCGCTAGCCTTGAGCTGAAGAGCTGAGGGACAGCTCCCAAGCTCAAAGTTCAGGCCCATGACCGGACTCCCCCCCAAAAAAAAGAAAGAAAACACCCAGAACATTCTAGAAAAAAAAAGCAAGTCCCAGGTGAGAGTCAAAGGGCAGATGACCTCAAAGATGAACTCAGAAGTAAGCTGCTAGTGGGAGAAACACAAAATGTCAGCCTATACTACTAGTGCAGACAGTGGAACTCACTGTCAAAGTAAAACAATACACAGCTCTTTAATTTTATTTCGGAGTTAAGTCTTTTTATAAGCAAAGTTAACATCATCTCTTTCTTGGTTAAAAATAACTTGTCATTGGACAAGTTCAGGAGATGCTCCTTCCTCTTTCTACCATTTAAATTCCTATGAAAGAGATAAGGTGATCTGTTTTTTCTATATGATAAAGCCAGTGTTGTGAATATTGCCAACTGCTAGCTAAAGTCAGAAGAGTTCGAGGCTGATTCCAGGTACCCTGACCTCTGCCCAACTTTGAGCAGTGCAGCCTTCTTTCTACCTCTTAGCTGTGAAATGAAGGGCAAGAACCAATGGACTTCAATTTCTGCCCTTCTCAAACTGGAGTTGCGTCCAAGGCTTACAGTCATGTGTGGTGTTAGTGGCCAGGGCCAACTTCCAAGGAACCCTACGAAGGAGTTGTGAAAGGGGGAGATTCTGCAAGGAATCTGCAACTCCTGGAATGCCTGGTGGCCTCTCCCCATGTGCCCTGAGAAAGCTCAGAGCTTCGTTTCTTCTCCTCTTTCCCCTACCCCAGCCCACCCCCAATGCCAGGAACAGCACGGCAGTAAGTGCTCTGGCACCAATGGAGAAATTTGACTCTGGCTGTAAAGAGATTTGTGTTTTACGAGACATGTACCTGGTCCTCCTCTCTTTGAAAGCCCGTCCTGCTCTCCCTGCTCTGGTGTTTATGAGGCCCCTGAGGAGTGGGGACCACCTGTTCAGCCCGCCTCACCATCCCACCATCCTGGGGTAGACACAGCTCCATCGGGGCCCCGACCCTTGGTGCCCTGCAGCAGGAAGTGTCCAACGAAGCAGATGACTTTCTACAACTCTAAATGGCTTTCTCAGATGGAACAAACGGTACTGATTTAAGGCCTCGATGGGTTTCACTACCCCCCCAAAATAAATAAATAAATAAATGAAATAAATAAAAATAAGAAGGGAACTATTAACAAGTTACAGGGATTTCTGCTAAGCAGATGAGAGGCACATGTTCAAAAGTTTATAGTCAGCTTGCTTCGGCTTTTCAATGACATTCACTGGAAATGAGAAGTAGGTGGCCTGTTTGTGGAGCTTTGGGGAGGGTGAGGCCTCCTTCCAGATGAACCAGCGTTTGAAGAAGGGGGTGAGCTGGTCCAAGGGAGGGTCACATGGCTTCTATCCACTTTGAAGAAATGTTCAGAAAGTACTCCATACAGATAATAGCTTTTCTCTTCCACCCCCGCCCCACCGCTGTGCCCAAACTCCACAAAGAGAGAGAAGATGATGGTATTCATTTTGCGAAGAAGCAAGCTCAGCCAGTGAAAAAGAGGCTTAAGGAGCTGACCTACCCCCACCCCACCCCCACCACTCTGCATTCTAGTACTTGGCTGAGCAGAGAACCTGCAAAACAGAAAAGCCAGCACAGAAAAGGAGGCCAGGCTACATGAACACAGCAAGAGTCAACACTGCCTCTCCTTTTTGATGCCCTCCTCTTCCCTTCACCCTTCTTTCTCTCTGTATCTGCCGGGTCCCCTCAATGTAAATGCATTTAGTGAACAAATACGTAGTGTCCACCTGGACAAACCTGTTTGCAATTCCAGCTATCTCAGGGACTATGGGATGGGCAAGTACACCTCTTCGAGCTTCAGGTTCTATAATCATATACATGGAGTCACTAATGTCTCTCTTCTAGGAAGGTTTGAGAAACAACTGAAATCCTGTATACTGCCCAGCAATTATCACAGTGTGTGCTGTGGACATTAATTATGCTCTTTTATGAGAGGAATAAAGAGAAAAAATATCTGGACACCAGTGGCTCATTGCTGTAACCTTAGCTGCTAAGGAGGCTGAGATCTGAGGATCAGGGTTTGGGTTCAGCCCAGGGAGAAAAGTCTATGAAATTCTTATCTCCATTTAACCAACAAAAAGCTGGAAGTGGTAGTGTGGCTCAAGTGGTAGAGTGCCAGCTGTGAGCAAAAAAAGCTAAAGGAGAGCATGATGCCCCTATGTTCAACTCCAGTACCTTCAGAGAGAGAAAGAAGGGGGACAGGGGATAATCTTGAGGCATCTGGATCCCAAAGATGGAGCTCGAGTACAGGCCTTTGCCCAGGGAACTGAGCATCCTGGGTACCACAGCCACAGAGGAGAAGAGCAAGCCCTTTTGTTGCAGATAAAGACATCTCCATGCTTCTGTGGAGTGGAATGCTGGACCATCTGAGCCATACCCCCATAGGCTGGACCAGCTCTAGATCCTTTAGGACTGAGAACGCATCATCCTGTGTCTTCATCTCACAACACAGGCCTGGCTGATCAAAAATAAGGGGCTGGGTATTTCCCTCTGACCACCGACATCTTCTCTTCTGAGATGATTAACATGTACTACAACAAGCGGCGGAACTTTCTCAAGTGTCCCAAGGCCCAGCTCCCAGGACTGGATTTCACTTAGGGGTGGAAGGAGAGGAGGTAAATTCATATCCAACATTAACTGGCTCCAATACTCAAGGCAAACAGCCAAAACCACCCAAAGGAATCTGTGTTTAGCAGTGATCCCATACGAGGACAATAATCTAGAATGTTCTGCGTACCGTGAAGACAAGTTAAATGTGACCGTGAAAATCCTGAATACCAAACCTGCTGACTTTCGCATCTTCAAGTCTATCACTTCCAGATTGTAGTATGGAGGTTTTCACATAGTTTCCTTTTGGGTTTATTTGTTGTTTTTCCTCCCTTTTCTCCCCACTCCTCTCAAAAAAAAGAAAACCAACTCCCATCTGGGCTAGTAAATTTCTATGTCATTACTTAGTTCCACAAGTCAGATTCTTCTCTCCTCTAACTCAATGGCATCTGTCCCCAAGGAGTGCTGATTCACAGTGTGTCCCCGAGTTTTCAGACAGGAAAACGGCAAAATATCAGCAGTCACAAACTCACCCCAGGGAACGAGCCCAGGGGCTGCAGAGATGAATGGGCCTGGCTGGCACTGCTCATCTTGACTGAGGATAATTTCTTAGTTGAGATGAATGCCCTTCTCCTAACACAGTATAGTGCATATGGAATCCCGTGGTTTCAATCTTAGACTCCTCGGACCTCCCCCTTCATAATGTTCAAGATACACATAGATCCAACCGGTCACCAGAAGGACACAAAGGTGGAAGGCAGTGGGTGTGAGAAAGAGCACAGCATGCTTGGAAAATGAAAGTCAAAGCCAGGAGCCGGTGTCTCACACCTGTAATCTTACACACTCAGGAGGTTGAGATCTGAGGACTGAGGTTCAAAGCAACCCCCAGGCAGAGAAGTCTGTGAGACTCTTACTTCTAATTAGCCATCCATCCAAGAAAGCTAGAAATGGAGCTGTGACTCAAGTGCTGCCTTTGGGCAAAAAAAAAAAAAAAAAAAGCTCAGATCCTGAGTTCAAGCCATAGTTCTGGCACAAAAAGGGACTGGGGAAGAAAGAGAGAAAGAGAGAGGCAGATAAGCAGGCAGGCAGGCAGGCTGGCAGGCAGGCGGGAAGACAGGAAGGAAGGAAGGAAGGAAGGAAGGAAGGAAGGAAGGAAGGAAGGAAGGAAGGAA